CATAGACCAAAACCCCAAAACCCCAAAACCCCAAAACCCCAGCGGTCAGAAATAATAGTTGATTGAAATAAGAAAGTATGGATTTTATTTATTTCTGAGTAATTTGTGTGTGAATAAATACCGATATTTAAAATCATTAATCAAATTTAAATTTAGAGGCAAAACACTACACTAAGATCATGAGCTAAGAGTCAATTTATTTCAGATACAACGTCCCTCAACAGACTTATCTAAGAACCCCTTTGCAGGATATCACTCATCAATTCAACAAGAGTCAAATTAGCGGCCAAAATTTTGATAAACTCTAATAGATTCAGCAAAACTAGCAACGTTTCTACTTCGATTATACCAATCATGGAATGATGGTTCAAACCGCCAATCCCCAATTCCAGCTAATGAATCATCAGTAAACTCTGTAGAACAAATAGCTATAGTAAGTTACTCAAAAGAATACTAAGGTTGATAAAGCCAAGTATAAGACTGAAATGTGTAAAAACTGGATAGAGTTCGGATAATGCAGATATGGCCACAAATGTCAATTTGCACATGGCAACTTTGAGATGATTAACAAAGAACCCTAGAATGAAAAGTACAAGTCTAAGCCATGCAAATCATTTAGTGAGAAAGGGTATTGCCTTTATGGAAAGCGCTGTCTATTTAAGCATGAGGACAGAGCCCTGGAAGATCTTGTATCCCTCAATTACGTTCATAAATTGCTAGAAACTGAGTCTAAACTCAAATCATTTTCCTCAAACTCCAAATGTTAAATGGCAGCATCTAAAGAAAAAATGAACCAAGAAGTATTCTCTGAAGCTTACTTTGAGCAAATTGGTTATAGACCACGAAGACTCGCCTTATTTGCTAACATAACAGAGAAAGGTGAGGATGAAATGAGATAATTGGAAATTATAAAGAGTCATAAGAGGAATATGTCACACTTTGAGAGTGATGGCGGAGAAACCTTTGATTCCAGTTCTCGCAATTTTTCACTCAAATCATTCTCCAGCGGGGACTCATACAGCAGCACTGATGATTTCAACAGTCCTAGATATCGCTCTGAAAGTCTGGTTCAGTAATTAACCGAAGACTCCCCTTGTAACATTAATTAAAACATTGAAAACAGCTTAATTGCTGTGAAATCTATAAATATTTACAGAGAATAAGAGAATATCTGAGAGTAGCAATTTTCCTGCCTTGTGTAATAGTTACGTATTTATTTGTTTGATTTATTAAAAATAACTGGGATATAAGTAATTAATTTTTGTAATCATTTTCATTAAATATTATTCTAAAGAATCCTGGACTGAGGGGTTTTGGGGTTTTGGGGTTTTGGGG